GAAGGCTTGGTCTTTAATCAGCGTCCTAATTTGAGGGCCGTCGAAAATACCTGCTTTGAGTTTTTCTAGCGTTAAACCAGGGAACACTTCACACAGATACTTAAAACAGTCACTGTCAGTATCGAGCGCCTTGACAAACTGTTTCATAAGGCCCAGCTTGATGTGAAGGGGCGGGAAAACAATTTTTTCACGTTCCACTAGGGGTTCATAAATGATGTTCTTTTCCCCAACATTGAGGCTTTCCCTAACTGGCCATTCCTTCTGAATCCAGTGTCTGTCTTTGGCTCTGCTGTCCCAGAGGCAGATAAAGCAAGGAAATTTTGTATACCCACCTTGCTGTCCTAGCAAAAAATTGACCATTTTTAGATCAACACAGATGATCCATTTGTGTTCTTCATATTTGAGTAGCTCCAAAACCGTTTTGATGTGTTCATATTTTTCTTTCAGGTGTACTGAGTGTCCTATGGTTATTGCGCCAAAGATGTTGCCTATATGTAATAAAACACACTTCAGACTCCGCTTAGAGCTATCTATAAAGAGGCGCCACTCTTTCGGATCATAACCTGGAGCTCCCATCGCGGTGACTAATCCAGAAATATCACATTTCAAATTTAGAATCAAAGAACTGTAAGAGGTTCTTTTCTCTGTTGCGAAAGAATGTTACCTTTGTGTCTATTTTCAGCAAGTTTTTATCTTTTAACCGTGAAGCCAACAATTCTGACAGCTTTTTAGACAGACCCAGATCTCGAACTAAGTCATTGAGTTCTGCTTGGCTAAATGTTTGCGGTTCTGTTGATATGCCTGCAAAATCTGAGTCACTATTTCTGTTAGTTGACTCCACTGTGACCTCAGTGTCATATTCACTGTCAGATTCAACGGAAGCAAGTTGAGTGAAGATAGGCTTTGGAACATCATCTGAATGGGGCACAGGCCTGATTGCTGAATCTAGACCTGATCTGCACAAACGAATGCCATTTTCAGAATCTGTGACCTCAAATCTACCAGAATCAAGTGTCAGAACTCATGCAACTCATGCGAAGATCTCACAACCTTTAACGAACACCTTGACAAGCTTAACACCCACTACCTGCATCTGCTGCTTGTGAGCATCTGTTTAATCATGCTGGGCTTATTATTTAATGAATTTATTACACCCCAGGGGGCGACAAGCTTAGTCACAAGACCATGCGCACAGACACTAATACAGTACATTGGTACTCATGTCTTGTAAGACACGCTATGACTTGTGATATGGAGACAATATTGATATGATTTAAGGACAATGGGAGTTAGCATCCATCAAAGTGTCAGTAGTGTACAAGAATTAATTCTCAAGTTTACAGGAAGAGAAGCGCAGGTCATGCCCCACCTCAGATACTTGCCAGATAGGTCTGTATCCTAACCTAATGTGAGCAGAGACAACCTCAGGTCTGCAGACCATAAGTCCACGTTGGCGATACTTGTGTGGATAAGGAAGAAAGTGATTATAGTGTTCGATGAATATATTTTCAGCTTGTTCACTATCCCTGTGATGGACTGTTAGGAGAAGAGCGGCTCAACTCTCACTTGTAGTAGGTCATGATGGGCTTATATTTAGGCGTAAAAGATCCTGATTGGACAACCATAATTTCAAGAATCGGTAATTGATTACTCTCACTAGAAAGATTTGCAAATAAACATGTGTAATGCTGTGTCTTTTATTATTATCTTTAGTTAATTAGTTTTTTATAATTTACTGTGGATTTATTTTCATATTTGAGAAAAATTAAAATTTTGTTACTTTTTACTTTCAGTACTCGAGTACTTTATGAATGAGATACTTTTTTACTTCTACTTGAGTAACATTTTGCCACTGTAACAATACATTTACTTAAGTAACAAAGTCCGGTAGTTTTTACAAATCTGCTGTGAAGTGAGCAGTGTAACAATGAAAATGTCTGGCAAGCATTTTACTCGCCATCTTTCAGGCCAGGACGAAGGCTACACCTCCAGTCCCCACTCATCAGACTCCTCCTAAGTCTGTTTGAGACTCAGGTTGATGTCTCCACTTCACCTTAAAGAGTCCCCTTCGCCTTTAAAGGGACATGTGATAATGACCAAACTTGTTCTAAATCATGTGGTGAGTGTTGCTTAATTTTGTGTTGTAGTGCTCGTAGTATTCTATGATTTTTTATTCAGTGATACATGTGGATGTCCGACTGGCCTGGAACCTATCCCAATGAACCTCATGTTATAATGAACCTGATTTACGATATTTCAACCTGCGATTGGGTTTTCTGGAACCTAACCCCATTGCAAATAGAGATTTACATGTACAGTAGAATCCCAGCTATCTGGTACCTATGGTGAATGAGAGGTGTTGGATAAAGAGTTTTTACGGTTAGATGAAACTCGCTCTTAGGATCCCCCAATAAATCCTTCAACGCAGTCGTACAGGCTGACCTCGCAAATCCTTATCTCAGAAAAATGGATTTCTTTAACAGTTATTCCATTCTATATAAACAATGTGGCTTATAAAGAAAGAAAATATAATATAAAACTATAAAATGAGGAGCATGTGTGTGAATATTTGGGAAGTTAACATGAGTGTACTAGGCACTGGGCTACAACTAAGTCACAGACTCGCCAGCCAGGCTGCCGTGTACATTGTTACTTGTAATGAATCTACAGTATAGAAGTTATTGAAAATCATTACAATATTCTAATATGGCTTAGAAATAAATAAAATGTAATATAAAACAAAAAAAATTAAAAGTATGAGTGTGTGTATGTGTGAGAAGTCATTATGTGTGGAGGCAGTTTCAGCCAAGGCCTTGTTTTTAACTACATAGTGGACTTGCCGGCCTCGTATATTGTTACTTGTAATAAGACTAAAAAAGTCGTTGAAAAATCATTACACTAATCTAATGCGGCTTAGAAATGCCGAAAATATAATATAAAATTATAAAATAAGAAAAATGAAGAGCATGGGTGTGTATGCGTGTGGAGGTGGTGGGCTATAACTGTATGGCCGCACTCCCAATGTGATGTCATGGCATTCACAGGTCTATGAGTCAACTGGTTGACTGCTTGGCTGAAGTGAGTTGTGTCGCCCAGAGGGTGGTTTGAGTGTGGAAGGAGCTATTTTTGTACATAATTATGTGCTATTGTATTTTATGATATGCTTGTATCGATTTTATTGTTTATCATAGCAATAAAAACAGCAGCTCATCCCCATTGCACGTGGCATTCAAACTTAAGATACTAGCTGATTTCGGAGGAATTTTAATTTTTAGTATTTCATTTTGGTGCCACTTAGTTGAATCTACTGGTTGCTCAGATACTGGATAACTGGGATTCTACTGTAGAAACAGGAAGAGATGTTTTTGTCCTGAGTTAAACTCAGGACAAAAACATCCTTACTCAGTGATCACATGGCTAGGATTAGGACTAAGTAAAAATTGTAGGCTTATGTTGTAACCAAACAGCTGACAGGGGAGATGTATATTGCATATGAGGCTACAACAAACAATTTCTGCTTTAAATGGCAACTTCTATCACTAATAATCCTTCTCAGGCCTCTGCATGAGAGGTACAGTAGGTGTAACTAATTTTCTAACTTGACATAAACTGCTACCACCCAGTGTTAGTCTCCAAGTATTCAATGACCAATTAACGGGTCTATTTGGGTTACCAGTGTGAAGGTATTAGCTTGTACAGTATAGTGTACCCAATATAAGAGAAACATTATTTTAATTATATTATTATGATACAGTAGAACGTCGATATAACACGAGATACGTTCTAAGAGAGGTCACTTTAAACCGAATTCGCACTAAATCAAAGTGTTGTGTCAATGGAATAATTTAGTTTGGTACTTGAGAGAAACACAAAATACTAAAAAGACTGAGAGTCTACCCAGATGCACCTGAGCCCATCTCCTAGAATAAACAAAACATTGTTTTTTGTAGTATTATGTAAAAACAAACACTCATAAATCAACACAACTAAATTTATGGGATGTGAAATGATCTGTTTACTAGCGATCAGCTGATGGGAAGATGGGGGGGGGAGAGGTGTGGTGATATGTTTGACAGTTGATGACAAGGTCTAGTGCTTATTCATTTATCTGTCCTTAAGAGTGACTTTAAGTTTTTCTCTTATAAAATGTCACTGAACTGACCTGGGAGAATATAATTAACATTGCTGGAATTCTTATAAGATAGTGATAGTTTGAATATATACATGCTATGGTTTGCATTAGACATACAAATTTTAGTTCTAACTAATTTTATTACAAAAGGCTAAAAATTGTATCTCTTGTGCAAAATATATGATGTTTCTATTCAAATTATTTGCTGTCTTTCAAGGATTCTAGCAATGCAAATTATATTCTCCTAACTTTAGTCTGTGATATTATATAAGATAAAAACTGTAAGCCTAAAAAACCAAACCCCGGCTGGGAAGATGGGGGGAGGGAGGGAGGGGTGACAGTGACATGTTTGACAGTTGGGGCCGAAGGTCTAGTGAAGTATTTATTTGTTTATTTATGTCCTTTAGATTGATTATTGTTTTTTTCTTATAAAATGTCACAGAAGTGACCGGGGAGAATATAATTTACATTGCTGGAATTCTTATAAGATAGTGATTAATTTGAAAATAATGATGCCATAGCTTGCACTTGACAAAAATTTTAGTAATCATTTAGTACATTATTTTGAGTACATGTACAGTACAGCTCTGCCCTTAGGACAGTCTAGCGTACCCAGAGAAACATTAGGCGGGAATTTTAAAATATGATGCACCAGATTGACTTTCGCAAAATAGGAAAGATTCACTTTTAATTAAAACATTGTCCTTAATTGCGGGTGTCGCTTTAAATCAATAATCTTAAATTGAATCGCTTTAAATCGACGTTCTACTGTATAAACCATTTCAATCAACAACCCAGCAAGAGCTTCTGCATAAGTAATCCCTAGGGAAACACCTGAGTTGAATTCAATATAAACATATATTCTTACCTTGAAAAAGTGGACTAGAAAAGTAATTGTGGAGGTTGACAGAGGCTCACACCTTTTCTGTGATGTGTCTGTCAATATAGCAGCCAGCACATCCAGACACAGCAGCTGTTGTTCTCCAGAGAGGTGAGACCAAGAGACCTCTACAATGTCTTTGCTGCACAGAAGCAACTCCAGACAGAATAAAACAAAGCAAGAGTATTGACTCTCATTCACATACAGGGACAGTAACTTGTTTACAATGACCTTCACCTGATTATTCCTGTGTCAAGCAATAAGAGAGAAAAATAAAGATGACAATGATTTTTCCTTGTGATGGGAGTTATAGTATATAACCAACTCTTTAATAGTAAAAGAATGTGAGGGATATGCATCAAGAAATTCATAATAGAACATTTCATTAGATATGGAAGTTACAGGGTTTAATATACAGGCAGTCCCCGGGTTATGAACAAGTTCTGTTCCTAGGGGCATTCTGAAGTCGAAAATGCACGTAAGTTGAAACAAATGCTACAGTTTGTGCATATCGTACTTACGGAACAATGCTTAAAATCCTTATATCCATCCAAAATCACTTAATTTAAGAGAAAAGAAGAAATATACTAAGGAAATACAGTAAATGAAAGTAAAAATTAAGTCATCAGGTAAATAAAATACTGTAAATTTAAAGTTCAACCCCGTTCGTATTGATGAATGTTTGTAAGTCAGACATTCGTATTCCTGGGAATACCGTATATACTCGTGTATAGTTCGAGTTTTTAAGACCAAATTTTTAGGCAAAAAATTGGGGGTCGTCCTATACATGCGTAATAGTTTTGTTAGGTTGAACCCGTGCATGATGGGAAGGGCGAGGAGCAACTTTTAGCTTCAGACATGAAAAATATTTACCATTTACTGCCAGTAAACAATGGAAATGTAAAATATGTACCAATTAGTAATGAAAAGTTGTGCAGTTCCTTCAGTAACTGAAGCTCACCAACTTACAATAGGCTAAATTACCTTACAACGTGCTTTCAGTAGTCTATGTTGAAGTTCTTAGCACAGGCTAACTTATTATATCATATACGGTATCACAGTTCTCATTGATCTACAAAAAATACTGGTAATAAAAACCTTTTCGATATTTCACACTTAATATAATACCCGGTAATCTACTTCACCCTTCTATTGTTTACAACGACGCTTGACGCACCACCAGCTGTATCAGCTAGACGGTACACGTGTTTTTCGAATCGTTTTCAGTTAAAAAACTGTTACATCACATGTATATTTTACCTTAACTGTGCCTGAATGAATATGTTCTCGGAAATAAATAGTAGTTTTGCTGAAACGTGATGTAAAATAGGATAAAATACATGACGAAAACAAAAGATTTTACCTAACCTTCCGATGTTCAAGAGAAGTTACTCGTTTTTTAATAGTTTTTGGTTAAAATACTGTTATATTACAATGATATTCTATTCATACTGTGCTTGATATAATACATTCACGGAAATGTAACATTTTTGCTGAAATTACGTACGTATTACAGTGGAAAGTGGGATAAAATCGTGACGAAAACAATGACTTTGAAATATAATGCAATATTAACCCCTAAATCGGTTAATTCGGACAATCGGCTAAAACGGACACCCTTCCCCCCCTATTAGTCCGAATTAACGAGGGTCGACTGTATACACAGTAATATCTCCGTTAACCAGAATCCCTCTTTAACTGGAACTCTCCGATAGCCGGAATATAAATTTTATTGGAAAATTGTTCCCAAAGCCTCAATTTTCTGGAAATTTCCTACTTTGGGAACGATTTTCTGAGGGGCACATTCTCTGGAAAATTCTGAGAAAATTTTCCCTGGACCCAAAAAATTCTGAGGATGGGGGATTTTTTCCGACTTTCAGAGATGAATAATTCATCATTCTGGTATATTCCGAGAAAATTCCGGTACCCGTAAGAATTGTGGGGATGGGGTATTACTTTCCAAGTTCGAGAGATTAAGTAATGTGCAATTTCTGGAACTTCTTAGAAGATTTTCCCATTACCCGGAAAATTCCAGGGACGAGGGATTTTTTCCCGGCTTCGAGAGAGTCATCTCGTTGCCCGGAAATCTCTCATTCCTGGAAGTGCTCTGCACCAATTGTTCCAGCTAATGTTTATATCACTGTATATAGATGCCAGGGAGTACCAACAAGATCATACCTGCAGAGTTCTTTTCGTAGGCCCTCCTCTAGAAGGCAATTATGTAGAATCATTGATGCCATTTGAGACACCTGCCAGTCAGGATATCCAAGCAGGTCTCTGGGAGGATATACTTTTTTTTATGTTCAACACTAGTATTGTAATGTTAACAAACAACACACAAGAATCTTATTTTTAACATTATTAACTCACAACAAATTAGAAGTGGTTGATCCAGTTGTTATTGGAGTCAAGCTTCAATTATTTTTGCTGCAATTTTTAAGAGGATAGAAAAAACTTTACCATGATTAATTAGTTTCTAAAATCAAAGACGGTCAGTCAATATACATCATTGTAAAAGAGTTGTCTGATTGTTGGTATAGTATTCAAAACGTCGAGTTTACTCGTTTATGATTTTTTTAAGAAATTAACAATTACAGTAAAACCTCGATTAACCGACCACATATGGGGGGAAGGGGCCGACGGATAATCCAAAAGGTCGGTTAATAATACATAAAGTCTACGGAAATAAAACATACATTTTCAAAGTACCTTTCCCTAACCTACCTCATTTAATTCCCTCTATTCATTTTTGTTCATTTGCCATTCAGATTTAAAAAGAATTTGCTTTAAAACATTAACCACTTTAGTAAATAAATATGAACCAGCACAGAAACCGTGAAAAAAAAATGGAAAAGTCAAGGAACATAATTATATCATCACAAAAATTGTGACCAAGTCCCAGGTTGCTCAAGTGACTTTCTGCCTCATTTACACACACTTCCAGGGTCTCAATTGTTTCTCTTACTATTCACAACACAATATACATACAGGTACATTGTTTCTCACTCGATTTTTTTTTTCATTTTTGCATTTCTTTATGGTTCTTTATGACTATTATTATTATTATTAGCATTAGCATTATTAATATTATTACATTATCGCCCCCCAGGCCCTGATGTGGGACAGTGACCTGTGCCCGGGTGGGCTAATCCCGTAATTTTTTTTTTTTTTTAGGGTTCGGGATTGACGGTTAATCCGAAAGTCGGTTAATTGAGGGTCGGTTAATCGAGGTTTTACTGTATTTTCCTTTAGTTGTATTACAAAACCTGTCATTTATAATAGACGGCTGGTCAACACTAGACTTTAAGACACAAAGTTATTTAATCATTATTAAAAGAACTTCAATGTGTTATATTTACTTTGTTTGAGTCATTCAATTACAGTACTGTACAGTACTTTTGACACTTTTATGGTGGCAGAGATTTTTTTGAAACACCATCTCTCATCACACAATTGACCATTAACCCTTATACCCCGGGTGACGTTCCAGAACGAGCACTTTTCCCGCCACTGTTTAAATGCCCAGCGCTGGTTATCAGGTTCCATTGTGACTATTTGCCTGTCACACGACACGCTCGGCCACAGGGAGGCTTCCTGAATGTAAGTACCGTACCTACATACTTATGTCGTTTCATTTTCATTGTTTGTCCACTTTATCATGTTGTATCAAAGTAATACAGTAATATCTCCGATAGCCAGAATCCCTCAAACCCGGAACTCTCTGATAGCTGGAGTACAGTACAATACTTTTTGTACAATGGTAAATTTGGCAATGGCTAAGCTTACCAGCCACCTACTCTCCTCCCAGTAGAGAGTTCTGGGTGAAAATAGTGCCTTATTACTCGACCTGTCATGTAATTTTGACATCAAATTAATAATTATACATAGTATTTTTTCTAATGTCCAATATTTTATATTAACCATGATAAAACACACCATAAGAGGCTGATCATTGGTGAAAAGGGGAATACCTGCCTCCCTGCCAGCACCTTGCATCCCCCTACTTTCTCCCTGCCTCCGTCCAACTCAGTGTCTCACACAAAAAATTCTATGTATGATGTGGAGTTGGGGTATTAATTAATGAATAATAAATAACAATATTGTATTGTTAATGACAGTACAGTACAGTAGTTTGATGAATAGTAGTGACAATTGTAGTATGCTACTATTCATCAAACAACTGTCATTGATGATACAATATTGCTTATTTATTTATTAATTAATACCACATCAAATCAAGACATCCCCATATTGTATGACATATATTTATGTGTGGTTAACTATGTGGTGGTGAATTAAAAGATCAGCTGTTGAGGAACTTAGCTCTTGGCAACACTGGTGCATGTTATCACTCCTTTCCACACACAACTCTCTAATCAGCAGGGGTGCAGTGCTGCCGGTGTAGCAGCCCACATTAACTCCCCGCCAAACTATACCCGGGGTTACAGCCCAGGCTATATTATACCCCGGGGTATAATTTGGGTTAGCTTAGACTATACCTCTCTAGTCCTGATTATATCTCCTTGTGTTTTTCATAAATAAGTCTGTATTTCAATGTCCAGAGTTTTTTTCCATCATAATTTATATATTTTGGGGCTTGCAGCTCCTGACGAGAGTTACTACCACTCTCTGTAATCCATGAACCTATCTAGCCTCCTTTTAAAACTCTCCAGCGTTCCAGCACTTACTACAAAGTTGCTAAGCTTATTCCACTCGTCCACCACCCTATTTGTGAACCAGATCCTTCCTATCTCCCTCCTAAACCTAAACTTATCCAACTTAAATCTGTTGCTACGAGTCCTACCCTGCTCGGATATTATAAGAACTTTATCTATATCCCTTTTAATGATTCCTTTCACCCACTTAAATACTTCTATCATATCTCCCCCGCACTCTTCATCTTTCTAGGGAATGCAAGTTTAGTTTCCTTAACCTATCTTGATATGGAGGGTTTCTAAGTCCCGGAATCATTTTTGTCATTCTTCGCTGCACCGACTCCTGTGAATTGATATCCATTCTATAATAAGGGCACCAGAACTGAACCGCATAATCGAGGTGCAGCCTGACTAGCACAAGATATTGTTGCAATAAGACCTCTCCACTCTTATTACTTAAACTTCTAGATATAAAACCCAATACACTGTACTCTGTTTGCCTTATTTCGAACATTGGCCTCTTTCACAAGTCGACTTCTCTAGGTTGATGTTGTTAAGGCTGTATACATTGACAGTATTTGTTCTTCCAATATTAAGTGCGCTGCACTTGCTGGTGTTGAATTTCATTTGCCATTTTTCTGACCACTCCTGCAGTTTATTTAAATCCTCCTGTAGTGCATTTGCATCCTGCCCTGAATTAATCTGCCGCCCTATTTTGGTGTCATCCGCAAACTTGCTTATGTCACTGCTGATCCCAGAATCTAAATCATTTATGTAGATTATGAACAAGAGTGGACCTAGTACTGACCTCTGGTGGACCCCACTGGTTACATAGCCCCACTCAGATTTAACACCATCTACGCTGACCCTCTGTGTTCTATCGGTGAGCCATGATTTTATCCAATTTAAGACTTTCTCCTCGATACCATGAGCCTTAACTTTTCTCAGAAGCCTCTGATGTGGTACTCTGTCAAACGCTTTGCTAAAGTCTAAGTAAATAACATCGTAATTATCGTCATTATCTACTACCTCGAAGACTTTCCTAAAAAACGTCAGCAGATTTGTTAGATAAGATTTTCCCTTTGTAAACCCATGTTGAGTCGTACATTAATTTGCTTTTGTCTAAATGCGATCGGATGCTATCTGCTATAATTGATTCAAGAAATTTCCCCACTGCTGACGTCAAACTGATCGGCCGGTAATTTAACGCTGATGCTCTGTCTCCCTTTTTGAATATGGGTACTACATTTCCCTGTTTCCACAAGCCTGGCACAACTCCCGCGTCTAATGATTTTGTGAATAAATTTACGAGGGGTCTGCTAATCTGTTCCTTGCCTTCCTTACATTTTTCTTAACATTCCTAGATAGTTCATTATACCTATTTCTGAGCTGCTCCTCCCCTCCCTTTAATTTCTCATAAATTCCTTTCTTTATTCCTATGTCATGTTTAAGTTTTCTGGTCATCCACCTTGGTTCATTCTTATTTGACCTAATTTTTCTGTATGGTATATTTTGTTCTTGTGCTTTACGTAGTATACTAGTGAATATATTATAGTCATTATCAATTGTTGTGTCATCTGTGACCTCACCCGCTCTTACTGGGGACTGACCTGACTGTTCCCAGGTGACCTCACCTAGGTACCTTCTTAACCCCTCATAATCCGCCAATCGAAAGTCTGGGACTCTGACCATATTGTCATTGTTTTTCGTTTCCCAATTTAGGGTGAACCTGATTTCTCTGTGATCACTGTTACCTAGTTCTTCCCCTACTGTGATATCTGATAATATTTTCTTTATTTGTTAATACTAGGTCTAATATATTGTCACCTCTAGTAGGTTCTGTAATTAGTTGTTTCAAAAAATTATCCTGCACTGCATCTAGGAAGTCTTCAGATTCATAGTCACCTACAATGTTGCTCCAGTCAATATTTCTGAAGTTGAAATCCCCCATAATGCACAGGTTGTTGTATTTTGCTGCCCTACTCATTTCCTGCCATATAGGCTGAGATGTTTCTTTCCCAAGACTTGGGGCCTGTAAATCACTCCCATAATTAGTTTTTCTCTTCCTTCCGTAATTTCTACCCATACAGAATCGGTTCCTATTTCACCCTTTATTGAATTATTAATAAAACATTTTAATGTGTCCCTGACGAAGAGAGCGACCCCTCCCCCCTTCCTACCTTCCCTGCCCTTGTGAAAAAGGTTGTACCCTTCTATGTGGTACTCTGATAGGAAGTTTTTGCTTGCCAGATTCATCCAAGTTTCGGTGATTGCTATGACGTCTACATTCTCAGTACATACAACCCCTCTCAGCAAGTCTATTTTATTTCTAACGCTCCTACTGTTTGTATAGTATACATTTAAACCTACCCTTCCCTGGTCCTGTTTTACCCCTTGTCCTGAGTAACCAATTTTACTTCCCAGGGCCTGCTTGTTTTTTGACTCCCACTTACCCCGACCTCTCTCTAGACAAAATAAAGAAAGCATTATCTTTCTGTAAGGTGTAATGTCACGTGAAGATGCCAGGTCAGGTTAGGTGTGAGGTTGTCAGAGGGTAGACTGAGGTCATGTATATATACTGGTGCTCTTGTTTTTGTCTGTCATTGTGCCTGAAGCTTGTGACTGGTGTTGTTGTGTTTCCTCTAATTAGTGTGCATATTATTTAGTTTATTCATAATTTTTTCACTTTCACAAAAAAATCTATCATGGATGATAACCTGTACAACCAGAGTTTGAACTTCTACACCAGCGCTGACTCAAAGTATCCTCAGCATATCTATGACCCGGATCCTGCCAAGCGTGTGAATGTAAAGTCTCGGTTTCGTCAAAAAGCAAAACCATTTCGTGCTGACAGTGGAACTCTCTTCCATGGAGACAAGGAGGTTCTTGTCAAAATCCGTGTGCCATGCATTCTGAAGGCCTGTCATGATAATCCAGCTACAGGAGGGCACTTTGGCAGAGTTAAAACCTTCCGTAAAATATCTCGGCGACATTACTGGAAAGGCATGAAGAACGATGTACAAGAATATGTGAAGGCATGTACGAAGTGTTTCGTCGGTAATCCCAAAGTCGGCAGAGAAGCTCCTTCACTCAACCCCATACCTGTACCTGCCAAGATCTGGAGTCTGGTTGGGATTGACATTATTGGACCTCTTCAAGAAACTACAAGTGGTAACAAGTATATCGTCGCCATAACAGACCATTTCTCCAAGTGGTCTGAAGCCGCAGCTATCCCGGACAAGAGCGCGAAGTCAGTGGCACAGTTCCTTTACTCTGTTGTATGTCGACTAGGCTGCATGGACAGCCTTATCAGTGACCAGGGTCGTGAATTCGTAAACAAAGTCATTGACATGATTATGGACCATTTCCAGATAGATCACCGTATAGCCTCGGCATACCACCCACAGTCAAACGGCCAAAGGGAATGTGACAATAGGACACTGAAGGCTGCACTGAGTAAGCTCGTCAACGACCAAACCGATGATTGGGATCAGTACATTCCAGGCATTTTGTTTGCTTATCATACATTTATCCATGCTTCAACGAAGTGCACGCCCTACGAAGTGATGTATGGCCGCACTGCCAAGCTGCCCATTGACCTGAAGTCTGCCGACAAGAGTGATGCAGCACCACTTCCAGACTCAGCCAGCCCTGATGTTCAGCAGACACTTCACACCATTCGTGTTTTTTAATTTAAATTAAGATAGCTTAGCCAGACCACTGAGTTCAAAACAGAACTCTCTTAGGGCTGGTTCCTGAGTGTGTGTGTGTGTGTGTGGGGGTATAATCTGGCCTAGGGGTGTATGAAATAGCCTAGCCTGTTTTATACCCTGGGTATAAACTGGACTAGCCCAGAATATACCCAGGGTATAGTCTGGGCAATTATATACACACACAAGTATATAGAAACGGTTTAGGAAACGGACATCATTTTGACAGCTCCGACACTTTAAAAATTGCTATGCAACACTGCTAATCACCCACACCTTTCTGCTTTCTCACTCCACATTTTAAAATCTTATGTAACGTAATGTTGATGGAATACAATGTGATAAGTGTAAGCATAAATACCCCACCCAACAGTGGGTGACCTGACATTGTATCAGGTCAGTAATGAGACCCCACCCTACCTCCACCTGACATTGTGTCAGGTCAGGTCAGTTACATGAGATCCACTAATTCACCACAGCTCTAAGGGATTGGAAACTATCAGTCCTTGCTGTAGCACACAGCTTCATTCACGACCATATCATATAGATTTTTAGTTTAGACTCTTGGAAACCTCGCCAGCACACAGAAACATTCTGAGGATGTGGGTTAGTGTTTGTCTGTGCAAGATGCATAGCTTAGACACTTGGGAATATTGTTCCTGTAACAGGAAATATTTCCGGGGATGGGGGATTTTTCCGAGCTTGAGAAAGTCGCCGGAAATATTCTGCACCAATTGTTCCGGCTAACGGGGATATAACTGCATTGCTAAAAGTAGTGTAGTTGTATTGTAGTGTAGTATTACTGGAAAATAATGCTATGATTATGTTATAAATGTATTTATTTGTGGAATTATTATTCCGATAATTACTTCTACACATTACTTGCTCTACCAAACACAGACAGCCAGACAGCCAGGAGACAGACTGCGTGTGTGTCGCCGAGCACTTTTATGAAAAATAATGCAAATAAAAGAAATTCTAAATGAATATTTATAGGAAATAAGTATTATGATCAGTGAATATATGCATTACTGGCCATCCCGGACACAAAGGCAAGCTAAAATTAGCTGCTAAGTGTGTAGGTGACCACGAGTACTCCCATCATAGCAAGCTGTCTGCTTATCCCCCTCCCTCCCTCCCTCCCTCCGTGCTGCCAGGGAAGTTTCTAGAGGGTCAATATATAGTTTTTCTTACTTATTTTTTATTGTTTTATCATTTTAAAAGGTTAAAAATTATTTGTGGAAAAGTTGATTTTTCTCGATTTACCCCCAGGTGGGGGGTACTGCCAGCGGCACCCTAACCTGGGGCTTAAGGGTTAAGTGCAGCCACTAATATAAAACAGTTGAGACCATCGGTTTAGAATGTATTTAAAAGCTCATAATGACAAATTAAACAAAAATTAGTTTCAAATACAGTACACAATTTCAAAATCTTTTCATCTTTCTTTTTAATGTAACAAATACAGTCATTCCTGCTAAAACGTGTGTTTTGTCAACGTGAATTGGTTGTAACGCGATTGATGAATAGGGGAACACTGTAAAATGTGAACTTTTGCATACGAATGTTGGCTATAGCACGATTCCATCATCAACGTTTAAGCGTGGCGCAAGGTTATGCAATGTTTACAGTTCACATTCAACATCACATGTTCAAGTGACTCGTGTGTTTTGCTTGTGAAGTATTTTTTGAGAGGTATTCTGTAAATTTCGTTAAATTTTTTGCAAATTTAGCTGTTACCCATAAATACTGTATGAAAAGAATAAGTAAAAAGAATGTTTCGCAGTGAGGACTAATAACGGTTTACACCAGCGCTCTCTGTTTACATCACGTGATCAGTTGAATAACACGGTTTCTGTTGATTGCTCTGTGGAGTGTCCTCCGTGATTTTTGCTGTTTTCTCCAATTTTGTTGTGTTAGCCATGAATATGGAAAGACAAGGTAAGAAGAATGTTTCCAAGAAGCATTCTGGTGATCGAATTGCCGGTGGTGAACGTAAAAGAAAGAGAAGCTCGATGTTATTAAGCGTTTTGAACGCAATGAAAGAACATGTGATATTGTTCGTGCAACAGGAATAAAGGAGTCTACGTTACGCACCACAGCCATCCACTTCTGGAATAAATTTTTTTCGTCCAAACCCTGCAACCCCCTTTGCGCCTGATGATGATGACGACTCTCAGCCCATCTGCATGACTCATCAACCTCAAAATCGCCCTTCTCCCCCATCAAATTATCTTCATATTTTTTTCAAGGTAAAATGTTACATTTACTGTATTATTTCATTATTAGATATGAATTTAACATTTATTTAGACTGTGCTATCCTTTGTGTTAGGCTAACTACTATATTTGTTTTAATTTTGATTAATCTGCACCTAACCCTATTTTCTCCATAAGCCCTGTTTTTTTTATTGTGCTAATTTCTATAGCGCGAGGTTTCACAAGAATGCAACTCTCGCGTTGTAGCAGAAATGACTGTACATGAGAATAATTTCAGTAGATGGGTGATTAACATGTCAATTAGATACATACCGTAATACTGGTAACAAGTGTGGCCAAATTAGCTTTCTTGTCAGGGAGTTGGCAGCCACCATGTTCCCCAAACAGGTAACACAGGCAGAGGCTAAAGTGGAATGTGCCTTCTTCCATTCACTGTGTGAGTTTCTGTCACTCAGTACATCTTGTTCCGGTGTTTCAACTACCTCTTTGTGGCAGTCATTATTGTTCTCTGTCGTAGTTAAAGGATTTTGATGCGAGTCTTCCTCCGTCAATACCACCCTCTTGTTGTCTCTGTCCGCTGTTCTGAATGTCCACTGAGTACAGGATATGATGGGGTCCACAAGATCAACTGACTCAGCCACCTTAATAGAAATGAAGTGGTTAGCCACCTCCTTGCCTGTTCTGAATCAAATATTATTATAAATTATTTGCATAATTCTTTAAGAAAATGAAGACATTCAAGGTTTACCAGTAATTGATTTCTAGAACAGTGTGGGAAGGTGTTTCGCAGACAACAGAGGGAAGTGGTCACTACAGTAAGGCTTTCAACTGACGGCTGGAACATGGAGTCTTGGTTCCATTTAGTTACTTCTCCTTGGATTATTCCACATATATTCCAAAAGATAGATGTATCCAGCTTCCACCTGTTAATATGAAGAAAAAATAATGTGGCATAATTTATTACCATATATTTATTCCAAACTTTAAAACAACAAATTTCATAAAAGAAATATATACCCATTAACATTAGTACCCCGTACTGGATGTGAAAATTATTTATAGTACAGTGACCCCTCCATTAACGAGCTCAATCCGTTCCAGAAGGTCGTTCGTTAACCGAAAAGTTCGTTAACCGAAACCATTGTTTCAATGGGTTTTTGGGTAATTGGTTCCAGCTCACCGAAAATTTCCTAAATTCAACAAAAATGGTAGAAAACTTCACTTACTTTGAGGTGTGTATGTAGAAGGCTCCTGGATGATGATGATGATGATGATGATGATGATGATGATGATGATGATGATGGGAATTAGAATGGGGTGGAGGAGAAGGAAGAAGAAAAGGCATTGGGGTGGAAGAGAAGTCACCCCATGGCACCATTTCATCCATAAAATTTTAGTTCTCTTGGTGTATTTCAAGATTATTTTCTTTATATCAACACGGCACTGCATTATATATTGTCAATATGTAAAATATATTTCAAAATGACCAATAATTTGCTTGGAAACACAGAAAAAAAGCGTTTAGTTGAAGAGAGTCTCAAGCAAGATGTTACCTCCAGTGAAAATAGAGAGAGACTAACTCCTGTTTGCTGTGTTAAGAGGCTGGATGCCGCGCATTAAACTAGTCACTTTACCTTCAATTATGTTCAATAATTGTTAAAATGACTAAAAAATTGAATATTAAACTTTTAAAATTATTGAATAGTATAAACTTCTTGATATTTACTACAATAGTAAGGAATTTAAGCCCTAGAACCGATTAATGTATTGGCGGACTGATACTACAGCTGGTTGCCCGGTCAGTGCAAGCGAAAACATGTTGAGGTCAGTTCGTAAGAACTTCGTTAATCGAATTTTTTTTCGTTAACCGAATTGAAGATCCTTATGGAAGGCAGTTCGTTAATCGAAATTACGTTAACCGAGGTGTTCGTTAAACGAGGGGTCACTGTACAGTATTACCCGCTTTACACGGTTTCACTTTCCGTGATTTCTCATTGATTTCTCATTTACGCGGTACCTTGCCAGAACCGGACTTTCACTTTCCCTTTCCGCGGTGCATCTACTCATATACGCGGTGAAGTACAATTTTATTTTTTTTTATTTAGCTCATAAAATTCATACAAATTACCCTGCCAGAATATAATTTACATTGCTGGAATTCTTACAATATGATGATCATTTTGAATATAAATATCATGGATTTTGTATTAGACATACAAATTTTAGATCTAATGTAATAATTTGGTTTACACAAAGCAAATATTTTATCGTTTGTGCAAAATATATGAAGTTTACATTCAAAATATTCCCTGACCTGCAAGGAATCTAGAAATGTCAATTATATTATCCTAACTTTAGCCTGGGTTATTATTTATTACTAAAAATGTAAATATACTATTTTCTCCCAATCCTTCTCTGGTAGGGAGGGAAGGTGGGAAGGGGGGTAGGAAGGGAGGGAGGGCAGAGGTGGGGTATTTTGATTGACAGATAGTGTCCTTGAAGAATATTTCTTTGTTTATTTACTGAAGATATTTGTTTTAGCTCATAAAATTCATACAAATTACTCGGCCAGAATATAATTTACATTGCTGGAATTCTTACAATATGATGATTATTTTGAATATAAACATCATGGATTTTGCATTAGACATACAAATTTTAGATCTAATGTAATAATTTGGTTTACACAAAGGAAATATTTTATCTTTTGTGCAACATATATGAAGTTTACATTCAAAATATTCCCTGACCTGCAAGGAATCCAGAAATGTCAATTATATTATCCTAACTTTAGTCTGAGGTATTATTTATTACTAAACGTTAAAATCTAGTGGTTTCACCCAAACATTTCTCAGAGAGGCAGGAGCCAGTGAGCTGGGAAGAGGAGGGGGGGGGGGGTTTGAGTCCATTATTTGAATGGACATTAACCTGGCAACTGTATTTCTCTTAAATATTAATTGTGTGACCATACCATCATAAAATTTAGATGTTATTTTTACTACAATATAGATATTGTGTCGGAAAAAGTGGAGTTTGGGGGTCGAGCCAGTCTCTATTGGAATTAATCCCATATGTTCTGTTGTTCACTTTACGCGGTTTTCACTTTCCGCGGTACCCTGTGGGTTCAATTGACCGCATAAATCGGGGTACTACTGTATTCATATTTAAGAGTAAATGCACATACAGTGGTCCCTCGGTTAAAGAACACAATTCGTTCCAGAAGGTTGTTCGTTAACCGAAAATTTTGTTAACCGAATACATTGTTTCAATGGAATATTGGGTAATTGGTTCCAGCTCACCGAAAAGTACATACAAAGTTTAAAAAAAAAAAAAAACGCAGTAAAGTACACTTACTTTGACGAGTGTATGTAGAAGGTTCCTGGTTGATGATGATGATGGGAATTAGAAGTGGGGTGGAGGAGAAGGGAGAAGAGAAGGATGTGGGGATGGAGGAGAAATCACCTTTCAGGAAACCATGCTTGATGCCGTCATTTCACCTATAAAATTTTAAGTTCACTAGGTGTAATTCAAGATTATTTTCTTTAAATCAACACTGCACTGCATTATATATTATCAATATGTTAAATAAATTTCAGAATGACCAATAATTGTACTGTAAAAAAGTAAAAATACTCTGTGTTCAAGAGACCCACAAGCAAGATGTTTCCTCCACTGAACAGGGACTCAAACAGACGCCTTGGTGGGTGAGTGAAGTGGCTGATGAGCACACCAAAAACTAGTTCCCTGTACTGCAATTATGTTAAATAAGTGTTAAAATGACTAATAATTTTAATATAAAACTTGGAAAAATATTGAATAGCACAACCTTCTTGATATTTACTCCAATGGAAACGAATGTAAGCCTAGAACCGATTACTGTATTGGCGGACTAACCTACCGGCCGATGAGCAAGCCAAAACATATTGACATGTCTTCGTAAGAATTTCGTTAATCGAATTTTTTTTCGTTAACCGAATTGAAGATTCTTATGGAAAGTAATTCGTTAACTGAAATTTCGTTAACTGAAGCGTTCATTAACCGAGGGACCACTGTACAGTACAGTACAGTCTTCAATTTCCAAATTACATATGAAAATATCCCGGTAGTTTGTACAGTATCAGAAATATCTCTGTTAGCCAGAATCCCTTAAACCTGGAACTCTCTGATAGCCGGAATTGAAATTCTCTCAGAAAATCGTTCCTAAAGCCGTAATTTTCTGTAAAACTCCAGCTTTGGGAACGATTTTCTGTGGGGCACATTTCCCGGAAAATTCCGGTGATGGGGGAGTTTTTTTCCAGGTTTGAGAGATGAAAATCAGGTGCATTTTCCCTGAAACTACGATAAAAGTTTTCTGGTACCCAGAAAATTCCGGAGATGGGGAATATTTTTCCGGCTTTGAGAGAGTAGTCTTGTTACCTGGAAATCTTTCATTCCCTCGAAGTGCTCTGCACCAATTGTTCCAGCTAACAAAGATATCACTGTATTTAGACAATAATAATCTATCATTTGGAATACAAATTATTTATTTTTTTAATTTATGCATTGATCAATGCCTGTTGGATCCATAATGTAACAACTGTAACACCCACTGACAAAAACCTACTTACCATATCACATGGCAGGCCATGCAATTATTACGGTAGACTGCAAAGGTTATATACAGTATACAGTGGTCCTTCGGTTAATGAACACAATTCGTTCCACAGAGTCGTTCGTTAACCGAATCAATTATTTCAATGGGATGTTGGGTAATTGGTTCCAACTCACAGAAAAAGTACATACAAAGTACTGTATACCAGTAATAGAATTAACAAAACATTAAATATAAACTAAATACAGTATTATCCCGCCTAACGCGGTTTCACTTAACGCGTTGCCTCGCCAGAGCTGAACTTTCACTTAACACGGATTTTTTCCACATATACGCGGTGAGTGTCCGGCTCCAGACGCTATTTTTAGATTTGCCCCACCTGCCTGACTGCCTGTTTTAGCTCATAAAATTCATACAAATTACCCGGCCAGAATATAATTTACATTGCTGGAATTCTTATAATTTGGTGATCATTTTGAATATAAACATCATATATTTTGCATTAGACATACAAATTTTAGATAAAAAATTTTCTCTGGGTAACTATGTTATCTTTTGTGCAAAATATATGACATTTATATTCAAAATATTCCTGGTCTTACAAGGAATCCAGCAATGTCAATTATATTATCCTAACTTTAGTTTGAGGTATTATTTATTACAAAAAAGTTAAGTATTCTGGTTTTCCCACACATCTCCTTGGGACGGTTGGTGGGGGGTGGGGGGGAGGGAGGGACCGACCGACCATCTGTTACCCTGTGAAGAATATTTTTTTTTTTTTATTAACTGAAGATATTTGTTTTAGCTCATAAAATTCATACAAATTACCCGGTCAGAATATAATTTACATTGCTGGAATTCTTATAATTTGATGATCATTTTGAATATAAACATCATATATTTTGCATTAGACATACAAATTTTAGATAAAATGTTTTCTCTAGTAAATATGTTATCTTTTGTGCAAAATATATGACATTTATATTCAAAATATTCCTGGTCTTACAAGGAATCCAGCAATGTCAATTATATTATCCTAACTTTAATCTGAGGTATTATTTAATACAAAATGTTAAAATTTATTTTTTTCACCCACTCTTCTCTTGAAGGGAGGATTGGTGGGGGGTGGGGGGGAGGGTTGGGACTGACCGCGCGGTTGGAAGAGGGGGGAGGCAAGGTGGGGTACTTTGATTGACAGATAGTGTCGTGAAGATTATTTTTTTTTTATTAACTGAAGATATTTGTTTTAGCTCATAAAATTCATACAAATTACCCGGTCAGAATATAATTTACATTGCTGGAATTCTTATAATTTGGTGATCATTTTGAATATAAACATCATATATTTTGCATTAGACATACAAATTTTAGATAAAAATTTTTCTCTGGGTAACTATGTTATCTTTTGTGCAAAATATATGACATTTATATTCAAAATATTCCTGGTCTTACAAGGAATCCAGCAATGTCAATTGTATTATCCTAACTTTAGTTTGAGGTATTATTTATTAAAATTTAGTGGTTTTCCCCCAAAAATTTCTCAGAGAGGGAAGAGCCGGCAGTGTAGTGTGAGAAGAGGGGGAGGGAGTTGAGTCCATTATTTGAATGGACATTAACTTGGCGACTGTATTTCTCTATTTCTCTTAAGTATTAATTGTGTGCATGTACCATCATAAAATTAAGATGTTATTTTTACTACAACATAGTTATGTGTCTTCAAAAAGTGGAGTTTGGGGGTCGGGCCGGTTTCTATTGGAATTAATCCCATATGTTCTGTTGTTCACTTAACGCGGATTTCACTTAACACGGGACCCTCTGGGTTCTATTGACCGTGTTAAATGGGGTACAACTGTACAGTACAGTGGTCCCTCGGTTAACGAACACAATTGGTTCCAGAGTCGTTAGTTAACCAAATCCTTTGATTCAATGGGATATCGGGTAATTGGTTCCAACTCACCGAAAAGTACATACAGTAAAAGTCCAAAAATCCGGATGCCAGGAATCCGGACCACCCGAGAATCCGGACTTTTCGAAAACTCAAACTTTTTAAATTTAGCGGGCTTTTGTGGGTTATGTGAATGAATGGAGTTGCTTTAAAAAATTAATTTACATAATTCTAATAATAAAAGTAATTGTAAATTATAGGTAGCTAATTTTGTTAGTTTTGTAATTAGCTTGAACTGAAATGTAAAATTTGAGGCACTATAAATCTTTTGTGTGTATGTGTGCATGCGTGAATGCCACAGCTGCACAGCAACAACAAACGACCACACGATCGCCACTTTAAAACAAGCAATCAAACTGTGACAACGTATGTAATTTTGAGTCCTACTCTTTCCATGTACAGAGTACAAGCCCATAATAATGGCCCCTAAAGTAGATAAACTTCGTTGTGTGAAGAGAAAGAAGAACACATTGAAATTGAGTGACAAACTTGAAATAATTAAGAAACTAGAATGTAATGTGAGCAATGCTGTTCTAATGGAAACATACAACATTGGAAAGTCTACAATTTATGATATAAAAAAGGCAAAGAATAAAATTCTAGAATTCACAGCTTCTTCTGAGCCTTACATTAAAATTGCTGAAAGAAAAAGTTTACATTAGCCCAAATTAGAAAATCTTGATAAAGTGTTGCATGAATGGTTTTTGTTAAAACGATCAGAAGGTATGGCAATTTCTGGGCCAAAGCTTATTGCCAAAGCAAAGTCTTTTAAGGAGCAAATGAACATTGAATCAGAGTGCGCATTTAGTGATGGATGGCTTAGGAATTTCAAGACTCGTCATGGTATTAGACAGTTTGTTTACATTTTTGTCTAGTGTTGACTTAATTTTTCTTTAAAAGTGCTCGTTTTGATAAATGAAGCATGCTTTATTTGCTAATGAATAAACTATCAAAATGTACCTGTTCATCTCTTCTTTATTCCTCCTTAAATTTTAATTTTAAAAGTACTGCCTGAGAATCCGGAAAATCCGAAAATCCGGACCGACCCAATCCCCAAGCAGTCCGGATTTTTGGACTTCTACTGTACAAAGTAAAAAAAAAAAAGCAGTAAAGTACACTTACTTTGAGGTGTGTATGTAGAAGGTTCCTGGTTGATGATGATGATGGGAATTAGAAGTGGGGGTGGAGGAGAAGGGAGAGGAGAAGGAAGTGGGGATGGAGGAGAAATCACCTTTCAGGGGACCCATGCTTGATGCTGTCATTTCACCAATAAAATTTTAAGTTCACTTGGTGTAATTCAAGATTATTTTAATTAAATCAACACTGCACTGCACTATAATTATCAATATGTTAAAAAAAATTCAGAATGACCAATAATTTCAATGTAAAAATGCAAAAATATTCAAGACACCAACAAAATAGATGTTCACTCCACTGTCAACAAAGCCAAACTGACGCCTGGTGGCTGAGTCAAGCAGCTGATGGGCGCACAAAAAACTAGTTCCCTGTACTGCATATATTATCAATATGTTAACTAAATTTTAAAATGACTAATAATTTTAATATAAAAAATGCAAAAATATTAAAGAGCGTAACTTTCTTGATATTTACTCCACTGGAAACGAATGTAAACATAGAACAGATTACTGAATTGGCAGACTAGCCCATCAGCTGATCCTCACAACAAAACGTGTTGTTCATAAGGATTTCGTTAATCTAAGTTTTGTTCGTTAACCGAATTGAAGATCCTTATGGGAGGTAATTCGTTAACCAAAATTTTGTTTCATCGAACCGTTCATTAACCGAGGGACCACTGTACTGTACTGTACAGTATACTGTACAATAATAAATAAAAACAATAGAATATTGTATTTAAACTTACTTTAAGATGTGTACAGTGGTCCCTCGGTTAACGAGCGCCTCGGTTAACGAGATTTCGGTTAACAAGTTACCTTCCATAAGATTCTTAACTTCGGTTAACGAGCAATCCCTCGATTAACGAGTTTCTTACGAGCCGGCCTCAACATGTTTTAGCTTGCATTTGGCGGTCCACCAGCTGTAGTATTAGTCCGCCAATACAGTAATCGGTTCTAGGGCTTAAATTCCTTTCCATTTTAGCAAATATCAAGAAGTTTATACTATTCAATAATTTTAAAAGTTTAATATTAAATTTTTTACTCATTTTAACAATTATTGAACATAATTGAAGGTAATGAAACTAGTTTTATGCGTGCCATCCAGCCTCTCAACACACCATACAGGCGTCAGTCTGTGTATCTTTTCAGTGGAGGTAACATCTTGCTAGAGACTCTCTTCAACTAAATGCTTTTTTTCTGTTTTTGCAAGCAAATTATTGGTCATTTTGAAATTTATTTTACATATTGACAATATATAATGCAGTGCAGTGTTGATTTAAAGAAAATAATCTTGAATTGCACCAAGAGAGCTAAAATTTTATGGGTGAAATGGCGCCATGGGGTGACTTCTCCTCCACCCCAATGCCTTCTCTTCTCCCTTCTCCACCCATTCTAATTCCCATCATCATCATCCAGGAGCCTTCTACATACACACCTCAAAGTAAGTGTACTTTTCTACCTTTTTTGTTGAATTTAGGCAATTTTCGGTGAGCTGGAACCAATTACCCAAAAACCCATTGAAACAATGGTTTCAGTTAACGAGTTTTTCGGTTAACGAGCAACCTTCTAGAACGGATAGTGCTCGTTAACCGAGGGACCACAGTATGTCGTGTTACTGGCATCTTTGTTTACATATCAAACAGCTGATTGTAGAGGCAGTCGATGATGACATGTCATATTCTTTACAGAGTGCATTGGTTCTAATGTCTTCTTCATGTTTCATAATAATTTCTGCACTGTATATTATCAATATGTTAACTAAATTTCAGAATGACCAATAAATTTAATATAAAAATGCAGAAATATTCAAGAGACCAACTTTCTTGATATTTACTTGACTGGAAACGAATGTAAACATAGAAGCAATTACTGTATTGGCGGACTAGCCGATCAGCTGATGCGCACAACAAAACGTGTTTGTCGTAAGGGTTTCATTAATCGAAGGTTTGTTCGTTAATTGAACTGAAAATCCTTATGGGAGCTAATTCGTTAACCAAAATTTCGTTAATCGAACCGTTCGTTAACCGAGGGACCACTGTACATGAAAAACAATAAAAGAGTCTAAGTAAAGAAAACTATACAGCTAATGGTTATAAATTTTACATTAAAGTTATGCTACTGAACAGATAATGAACAGTAGCTACCTGTCAACATCTAAAAGCTGCTGCTGTAAAAGTTTCAGCTTAGAAGCACACTGAGTTAGGTCCCCATTACCGTGTAGGAGGACAGCCTCTTCTGACATGCCCATAACATGTTTGTGTACTCCAGCCATGAAGGTTCACTGTCACCTGAAATATAATTAAGATGCTAATAGAATATTACCATTTCATCAATTTTATAAATCATATTTTGAATAATTAGTACTGTAACTGCATTTTACTCTATGCAAGAATTAATTTCAAGATGTCTTTCTGTGCATAAGTAAACTTTTATGCTTTTTCATATTGAATGTCTGCATTTTTTAAATGAATAAATAAAAAAATTAATGACTCAAAATGCAAGAAACTCTTCTACAATTATTGGTTAAAAGATTACTTCCAGAATTTTCAGGAGAGAGACTTGGAAATGAAATTACTAGTTTCCTTTGTTGCTGAGCCAAAGGAATGACTTGCATTGCTGGAAGCCTTGCAATATAACGATTAATTTGGGTATAAACATCCCATAGTTTTCACAAGACATAACAATTTTAGTAATTAACTTAATACCCTGTACATGTGAGTACAAGTTGTACATTAGAGTAATATGTTGCTCAAAATTAAGGCTTTTTCACTGGATAAAGTCTGTATAACTTACCCCAGTGGTCAGGATATTATGGTATTGAATGTTACAGAGTATTTCAAATAAATTCTTTGTTTAGTTCTGTACATAGACTGGGGGTGGAGGAGGGATGGAGACGCTTGGTGCAAGAAACTGACCGCTCTCCCCCACCCCTGCCTCTGTCATTCTTACTCTAACTCAACACAATATTGTTTATTATTTATAGTAATAAAGATATTTTATTGTAATAATTTGATCTTATTAATACCAGTACCCTTCATATACAGTACAACACTTATTTTTACCTTATTATTTGGCTTGTCACTTAATTTTTCTGTAAATTACTGATTATACATTGTATTTTTCTATAGTAGTACTTAATATTTTAAATTATCAATGATAAAACATTCACCATAAGAGGCTGATCATGAGAATATATACAGTATAGTCTCGATTTAAGAGGATTTCCTTTACGCGGTTGGTCATTTACGCGGCACCTGGCCAGACCGGCAATTATTAGTTAAGCGGTACATTCTTGACTGTACGCGGGAAGCGGCGCGGGGAGGGTGCGCAGTAGGTCGCTCTTACGTTATCGCTGACAGCATGCATCTGGCTGTGATTGGGCCACGTATCCTTACCACCCACGCATTCCCTCCGCCGCTAGCTGTGATTGGGCCACGTATCCTTAGCACCCACGCATTCCCTCCGCCGCTAGCTGTGATTGGGCCACGTATCCTTACCACCCACGCATTCCCTCCGCCGCTAGCTGTGATTGGTCTAATGTAACATGACGTGCCCTGCCACCAGAGGGAATAAGTCGCTGACCTTAAGTGAGCCAGTCTCATTGTCCTCAGTCTCCGCGTATACTGTTCTCTCTTGTGCCCGCTAATCTGTTCAACAATGGCGTCTGCTGGAACCCACCACCCAAGAAAAACCTTGAATTACCTGGACCAAGCCGCCCCAAGCCCAAGAAGGTCGATCTGGCGCGACAGCATAGCGTTAACGAATCTACGATCTGCACCATCAAGAAGGATGCCGCCAAGATAAAAGAGCACATGAGCATCACAGGTGCCTCGTTGGTCAAGTATTGTCAGAATAAGGTGCTGTTCAAGACGGAGAATTTATTGGTGAGCTACTTGATTCATCAGGCAAGAAGGTTAACATGGCGGTCGACACGCAGGCAGTGCAGGACTACGCAAGAGAACTGTACGTATCAGTGACGAGAAAGATGGGAATTGCAGAGCCCAAACCCTTCACTGCCTCCGCTGGGTGGCTGCAAGGGTTTAAACGTCGTAACAAGATCACGAACGTTGAAATTGTTGGTGAAGGAGCGAGTGCTGACCGTGCTGCGATGATGGATCTTCCTCCATTCTTACGAGAAATTATGGAAGAAGGCCAGTACACCGACGACCAGGTGTTCAACATGGATGAATCCGGGCTCTTTTGGAAGAAATTACCTTCCGGGACATTCGTAGTCA